AGTGGCTGGTATGAGGTTCTGTCCCTGTCCAGTGATAGGAGCCAGGTCTCCAGTCCCCTTCTCGGGCTCTTCATCTAGACCACGCCCCTTACGTCTCCCTGTGGGTATGCTCCTGCCCACCTGGCCCCGGTCCCTCCTGTTTATGGAGATGGCTTGGCCTGCTGGTGGCTGGCCCAGGGATGTCCAGCTTTCTTGAGCTGCCAGCTCTCTGCCATCCTCTGACTAACACGCCTGGAGCCCCTCTAGGTGACTCGTGATTTGCAGAGACTGTGAACACGGTGGAGGGCTTTCCACACCCTTTCTGTGCCTGCTGCAGAGTAGAGATAATGCTCAGAATCGTGGCCCGTAAATTAACCCAGGTGAAGTGCAAGGGTCAGAAATGAGAAATCTGAGGCATTTTCGTCAGGAAAGTCACATGGATAAGGACGCATTGCAATTTTAATATCTGCAGTGTGGTGCAGGGACAGTCTGGGTTGGATCTTTCTGGGACAAAGGGCAGACAATTGCCATGATATTCACCATCATTAAACTTTTGAACTTTAACTACTTTATGCACATTTTTATTTTAACAATATGTGTATCAAAAATAATCATCTCAAGGGCTGGGGTTGTAGCTCAGTAGTAGAGCACTTGCCTGGCATGTGTGAGGCAATGGGTTTGATTCTCAACACCACATATAAATAAGTAAATAAAATAAAAGATCTATTGACAACTAAATAAATATTTAAAAAACCAATCAACTCAACAGAACTGTGTGGTAAATATCCTATGATTCCCCACTCCTACAAACAACCCCCATTAACAAATCAGTATACACACACTGGGTCTTTTTCCCTGCAAGTGCAAATATGTATCTTTTGGGTTTTTGTGGAAAAAAAGATCATCATGTTCATGCAAATATGCAGCTCATCTTTTTAACTTACTGTACCATGAACATCTGGCCATGACCATACCTAGAGAAATATATCATTTATTACCTAGGACTCCAATCGACAGACGTGTTATAATTCACTTAGTGGATCCTCTGTCGAGTGGCACTTGAGATGTGCCCACATTTCCCCAACTTCCAATGAAATCTTAGAAGTGGAATGGCTGGACCCAAAGTCATGTGTTTCAGAAATTCTGATAGGCCAGGCGTGGTAGTGCATGCTCATAATCCCAACGACTCGGGAGGCTGAGGTAGGAGGATCACAAGTTTGAGGCCAGCCTGAGCAACTTAAAGAGGTCCTAAGCAACTTAGGGAGGTCCTAAGAGACTGAAGTGAGAACTTGTGTCAAAATAAAAAATAGGAAGGGCGGGGATGTGGCTCGGTGGTAGATTATCCCTGGGTTCCATCCCCAATGCTACAAAAGGGAAAAGAAGAAGAATGCTGGTGTGTTCTACCTTGCACACGGGCAGTATGACTGTCCCTCCCTGAGTGTGTGCAGGGCCCACTGACCCCATAGAGGGGCCGCCCCACAGAGCTGTTCCCTTCCATCTCCGCCCACTCTGAGTCTATCCGTTTCTCCTCCTACCTCCAGGCAGACATCTCCCCAGAGTTGAGTCAACTGTTTTGACTTGAGTCTTGTGTTTCTTTTTAAGGCTTTCACTCCATAAACTCCATGGTATTTCCTCCATGTTCCCTGTGTTTAAAAACCGCCTGTGCAGATGTCGACGCGGGGCCTCC